CGCCGTCGTCGATAAGAGGACCACATGAGGATTGAAGCTTCACGACTCTCAGAGGCGGAGGCGGAGGCGGGCGATGCAGCACACTCAGTAGGAGACCTGGTAACTGATTTCTGCGACACTGAACGGAGACCAAATGTTGATAATAGGAGACTCCAACGTCGGCAGTTTCGGATGCGAAGGCAGGCCGTACTATTCTGGCTTTGAACGCTACGGAGAGTGGGCGCCCGACTTGCTAGAGCCCAGTTCCATCCATGTCTTGAACGGCAAAGGGCGGTTGAAGAATCGTATTAGATAGGAGCGTAACAGTTCTGTCGGCGTAGGACTCGTTTGTTACCCGATACGTAGCTCTAGGATACTGGGCACGGTATGGTGAGATACTTGAGCGCAGCAGAATGTGCAGCAGCTCTGGCGGTAGTCTCACGCAACATTCGGCACCGGGTCGCAGAAACGTATCAAGGCCCCCCTTTGTTGTAGGTTCGGGACGGATACGGGACCCTTATAATTCATTGCAACGCAAAGATCCCTCGTCGTCGAGGAGACCAACATCATTGCCGCCATTTTAAACATTCACCGTAGCTCTTTTTTGCAGAAAAGAGTTCAGATGAACCTCCTAGACTCCTCCCCCTTTTAGGCAAACTCATTGCGTTACATCCCGATGTCACCGCCGTCCAACATCAATCCCGTGCCGAAGTCTGGTTCTGCCTGAATTCCGGGAAATTAATGGGTGCAACCTGGGGGCCGGATTCCGACGATATAGCATTCACCACGATAACACATTATCAAATGACGGTGCTACCTCAACTAGGATGGGTGGAGGAAACCAAAAAGGGGGGACGAAAAGAGAAGCAAACAGGACAATGGCCCTCGGCCATCCTTCGTGTCGAACGCAGAGGAGCGGCATGTTCGGCCCGGCGTAACAGCGCAACGGCGAGACTCTCTTTGCAGTCTTATGTGCTCACGTAGCCGAGCTGCAACACTGACCGGACTGGTGATACTCACAAGGAAAGTTAGGGCCGCAACTCACCAGCAACCTTCCATTGAAGACAACGTTCAAATTTCGGCCGTCAACCAGCTCAACGCTGCCCTGGGAAAAAGTCTCATTTTCAGCATGATGAAGTAAAGAGCGTCGGCGCGTTTTTGCAGAGAATAATTGTTACAATTTCCAACCCATAAGCACAGTATAGGATACGAATTTCAGTAAAGATTGCCAAGCTTCGGGTTTGATGTTCGTCCCAAGATCGATGCTCTTAGGGTTGGCGAGGTATCTCTTTTGCTGTACTAGAACTAACGTGGACGTTCTTTCGTCCCAACCCTCTGTTCCAGAACTGATTCTCTCCAAGAATCTAAGCTTTGTGTAACAATGCGAGAGAAGTAGAGGCATTTCACCTGTCATCTTCTTCTTCTCCGATACCTCTTCGGTCCTTCGCCAACATAGCCGAACCATAGCCAAGGAAGCCGAAAGAAGAACAGACGGACCGGAACTTGACATACTCTCACCCCCTATTCTGGGCAGAATAAGAAAGACTTCAGGCAGAAAAATCAAAAGGCCACGGACCGGTCAGCCTCGTTGTCTCTTTTCTCATCACGTAAATTGACAGCTTTCTTGGCGAGGGCCCGAGTTGCGACTACTTACTTATACCGTGACTGCTGATTAACAATACTTTGTCCTCTGAACGAAGGGAAATCTCACGCAGAAACTAGGACGCGGCACCGAGTCGTTGGATTCGCCACCACCAATACCAACCAAAGGAAGGAGGGACGAAAAAAGGGTCCTGCACCCGAATTCTACACCCGGAAGGGCGCGGCGGCGTACGTGCGTCAATCCGTCAACAGGGCATAAAAGCACGAGTGGAGCCGCCCGGACTTTGACGTACCGGAAATCCCACGTTCACACTACACACCCCAGGCCATCCGTACGAATCCTCAACCTTATTTACCTCTTCTCTCATTTTCTTGCGACGTTGTCATTTTCCGAATTACCCTACGGAACACGCCTAGAGAAGAAGGAGAAAAAAAAAAAGAAAAAGTAATAGAACATGAGCTTGCGGTCAATATTAAGCGGCGGCCGAGTAAAGAAGCCAAAACCAAAGCCGAAACCATCAGCTTCGCCGCGGAAGAATAGCGGGACGAGTAGCCCCCGCAAGTCTGCCGGCAGCAGGGGCAGCAGCGCCAAGAGGAATACAGCTACCCCATCAGACGTCCAAGATGATGACGGCGACTACAACGATGACTTCTTCCACGACAGACTTGACGACGCAGGGCTCGTCACGGCGCTGGCGACGGACATGTCGCTGCGCGACGTCGTCCAGGCCATAAAGTACACCCGCAGCCGCATGTTCGGCCCCGTCCCCACGGAGGCGGCCGGCATGAACTCCACGCGCATCGCCGAGGTGCTCAATTACCGCAGAGCTATGCCGGGCATAGTGACAACATCGCACTTACACGCCCTCCTCGCCTCGCCCACGGCGGTGGAGCGCGAGGTCGCAGAGTTGCAGCGCGGCGGAGCGCTGCGCAAGATCTACGTGCAACGCCGCGGCGGCCTGGGCGAGGCGCTGATCCAGACGTCTGAGCTGGAGGACATGATTGCAAAATCGGCGGAGCTGGACGACGACGCGAGGTCCGCCTATGTCAAGTTCCTGAGAGAGAACCCGCTGGCGCAGACGATGCCGCGACTGGCTTGCGGCGGCCATATACAGGCCGATGCCCTGGTGCGGGCCGGGTTTCTTACATCCAGCATGCATCCGCAGCACGTAAATACACCATTGATGAACTTACACTTGCGGCCCGAAGACCGCGGTAGCTTGATGAGCATCCAAGCAGTCTCCCGCGCAGCATCCGGAAGCTTCGACGCCGTGGGCGGACAAGGAGGAATACACGCCGCGGGTGGTGGGGGAGGGGCGCCGTGTCTATCCCGCGGCGCCGCCGCCGACGCGTCATCCTATTCGGGGGCCGAATTCACTATCGCGGTGCCCGGTAACGGGTCGTTCCTAAAACTGACCGCCGCCGCTGTGGAGCACCTGGCCCATCTCCTGTCCAAGTCTCAATTTAGGGAGATGCCCGTGTCTATGCTCCAGGAGCGGTGGGAGGGTGGCGTAGCCCGTGACGAGGCACGCCTCGCAAGGAGGGCCAGGGGAGAATTCGCCGGCGTGCTGCCGGGGAGGACCAAACGATGGAAGGAGTTTTACGGTTTGGAGTTCAACTGGGTGTTGGAGGAAGCCATGGGCGCCGGTGTCGTGGAAGTCTTTGAGACACGGAGCGTAGGTAGGGGAGTCCGCCTCCTGTGATACAGTGATCGTGGGTGAGACCCCGGAGTCCGTGTACGTCGTCTGCTGCAGCGGGGGAAAGGTTTTAAGCTTGATACCGTGGAAATCCCAAATGTTCTTCGACCAGTCGCTAGCGACCAGAGACACAATGTTGGGAACATCCGCGTCGATGAAACCTGCCTCTTGACAAGCTGCCGTGTCGCTTAGCCCCCCATCACGTCAACTTGACTGGGATGCCATGGCCGCCTCCTGGCATGTTCGTCCGAGGGTCGTTTCTCGGGAACATTCTTCGATGAGAGAAAAATCATAGAGATAGAGCTACTGTAGCATAGTACGCATAACACACCCCGATTGAGTCAGTTGCTGTTGTTATCTGCTAAAAGCGTTTCTTTCCGTAATTTGAGAAGAAAATTACTTCCCTACTCTCGAAATACATCATTGAACCGCTAGATAGACGGCAAACCCGTGAAGGTTGCGCGGCCAGCTTGAAAGGGGAACAAGCCTGTTGATTAGTGAAGTTTCCCCAGAACCCCGGCTCCCTGTCGATATCTGCCAAGCACGAAAATTGTTGTAGAGGGTGAAGGGTCGCACTTGAAGGCGAGGCGGAGGGTGATGCGGCTCCAGGTTCACCTAGGTAAATCCTAGGGCCTGGGGTTTGATCTTCCATGCTTCGCCCAGTCGCGGAGCATCGTGCAACTGGACCAACGTTTAGACGAGAACTGCCGGTTTTTAAATGTGACTTCGTTAGGTATAGGCTCTTGAGTCATGAACGGACCTGTGAAAGCCAGAGCATGAATGTCAACCGCCTCTCATCCGTTCTTTGCATCGATTTGCGTGCTGCTGTCAAAAGTTGAAAGGCTTGGGACCTAAAGGTGTAGTTGGTAGCAAAAAGCGACACACACCATTCGTTTTGCCTCCACATGGAAGACCAAACAACACACTGCATTGGCTGAGTCGCCAGAAATTTCGGGTTGTATTTGAGGTTTTCGAAACTTACACAAAGGCTATGTGGAGAGAGGTACGATAGTGTATGTCCATCTGCAGCTAGTGTTCCAGAGTATAGTATTGTCCGAGCGAAGAAGACGTTGGCTCACAGCTGTCAAATTGAAATGCTTGCCATACTTCAGCCCGCCATCCGAGGTTGGGTGGGAGAGCATAGAAAGCTAATCCAAATTCACCCAATCAGCCAAGATATCTCGGATGTTATGGCAGCCGTGCAAGAGTCAAGACACCTGGACTAGTCAGTGTATAGATAATATAGAGCTCATTAATCAAAAGAGCGTTTGTTTTGTCAGAAGCTCGCAAACACTCAGCAGAGATCGTCGGAAGGAACATGATCCAAGATCGACAGCCCCGTTGCCCCGTAGACTAGGCTCTTAGCCCACCAGGAAAAAGTATTAGAAACTCCAACATCCTTTTTGGGGGCGCAAGACGTTGCAGCTTGCCTGCGTGCATTAACCAAACGTAGAAAAAGCAATTTTGAGGTGCAGTATTGGGGAACGGATACCGACTTCAGTCCCAGTGAGGTAAATTGAGCTTGGGCCATCCATCGCCTGTGCTTCTATCTGAGCTCGTGGAACGCTCGATTTTGAACGGGACTCGAAGTTCCAAGCTCGTCAGTACAGGTACCGTTTTGATGTGGACAGAGGATCGAAGTGCTAAGCATGGTGAGGCACTTGCGCAACCATCCTGCGACGTGGGAATGCGGAGACGGAGCAACGCGGCAGAACGCTAGGTTCATCGGATGACGGGAACAGTGAAGTACGGGATGAGGTCTGGCAGTGATACATGAACGTCCGGCACGACGGCTCGCCGAGAGTGACCCGGTGTCGGGGGTTCTACCATCCCGCCCGTCATTCTCTGAACGTTTTCTGCTCGAACAACAGATAGATTGATGGCCTGAGCCCCAGACCCCAAGACACAATGTCCAATGGTGCCAATCTGACCAGTTCGAAGGGGGGGGGGGGGCTTCGTAGGATTCGTGCGACAGGCCCAGGCTCTGTGAGATTGCCAGACCAGGGCCATGGTCGCGTTATGCTTCATTGGCGAATGAGGTTCGGCGGGGAATGGACGAGGCTGCAGCAGTGCAGCTAAGGTGCTTGTCGTCACACAGACTTTTACGCCAACAGCGTCTTCTCCAACTCTGGGTCGTGCTAGGAAGCTTCCCGGAGACGGCTCCTGCAGTCGTGCAGAAAGTGTAGCATATGATGGCTGTTATCGAGGTCTTAGTTCGGCGTGCCTAGTAGAAGATTTGCGCACGGGGACGCCATAGATGGCAGCTCGTTGGCTGGAAGAGGTAGTGATGTGATGGCATCCGGAAATTACAGCGTGGTCCGTCCATATGGGGGTCTCTGGCAATTCGTAGACGTTGTTTGATTGCAACAACGGTTGGCACTTTAAAGTGTTTGCCCCCAGTCAGTCCATTTGCCGCGCTCTGTCCAATTGTTGATCGAGTCAACGTTGTCGAGGATTCTGTGGATTCGGGGACAGATCGAGAAAGCACCGAGGGTGATGAGCGGGTCTGAGGAAGATTCATGGAGATGGATCATGGGAACCCGAGCTGTTGGCGCTCGTGGGAAATCCGTACAAAGTAGGCTTCTTTGGGCGGTAGGAGTGGAGTGACGCGTATCCGTAGCTATACCTGGTACCCTGTGCTACCCAGAACACATACTCTGCACAAATTTGCGAGAGACAAAGAGGCAGACATGTGGCAGCACCATGTCTCGGCGTGGGATGGACAGGTGAGGCTGCGCAATATCACCACAATTCGTTACATGCGCACCTTGTGCTCTGGATGCTGACGGCGGACGCTTGCTACTCTGCTTGCTTGAGGGTTGGAAAGCACGCGCATATGCGTGCGACGGTGGTACGGAGCTCGCGCATGTGCATCCGCGTCTTGTCGTGGATCAAGTGCCGTCGGTCCCAGCGAGGTAGACGATCCATCATCCCACAAGCTCTCTCTCTTTCTCTCTCTCGCAGATGCAAGCCAGTTTGGGATTTGACAGCAGGGGTCTTGGAAGTATCCCGAGACCTAGGGACCAAGTAGTGGCCAGGAGTCAGGCCACAGAGCGGCGTGGCTTATCATCCAAGGACCATGAGGGAGGGATATAGTAGCGCCGTGTCTCGAGACACTTGTGCTTGTGCAGTGGGAAGCAATGCTCATGGTCCAAGTGCTCGCGCAGTCTCTCGCGATTAAAGGGGCGTCCTAATGTGCCGAGTACCTCTGATGCTGGTAGCTCGTGGCGGCACCGTGTATTTTCTGGGACTAAGCTGGAAAGGGATTCCCCCCTTGCTGTTCCTGAGTTGAGCGATGGTCCTTGCTGGGGATGTGACAGGGGTAGAATCTCCAAGTCTGGGTACCAATTTGACGATGATCAGACTAGCGAGGGAAAACTTCCTGGGTTGGGCTGCGGGCGTTGTGATGAGTGGTGTATTTCTTGGACGTTGTCTCTAGTACCTGACTAGTTGCCGATGGGGAAGCAATTCGTGACGGAGTCGAGAGAGGAGAGAGAAATAGTGCTTTTGTTCTTGAAAGTCCATCGTGGCCGGAGAGAGAGTTGCACGTGCTAATCGATGTGTGAATGGCGGGGACGGGAAATCACAACCGTGTTGCACGCCCTCCTCAGCCCTGACCGGCCAGCTGGAGGGGTGAAAAGAAAATGGAAGTGAAAATGGGAAGAATCGAGACGAAGGCAGGGAATGACACAGACACGAGAAATACAAGCGATAAACGGGGGCAAGGTCGCAGAAGACCAGGGGAGGCAACATCTCTCTTTCGTCTCCCTCCCTCCTCCCCTTTCTGTGTTTATTGGTATTTGGCACGAGTATTTCGTACATGGATACGTATTTGCCCATCTCACCCGTGACCCCGGTTGTATCCTGTCTTCTCCTTCCTTTTCCCCCTTCACATTCAGCCAAGGTACTTTAGAATACCTACCTAGTTCTGGGGAACAAGCTCTTTCTCGATTGACTCAGAGACGACGACTATCTCTTTCCTCTACGATTTGCAGATATCACGTCCCGCAATCTTAGTTGACGCTGATATCGAGGATCGTCACTTTGTCACTGGGTTTGGCAGCTTATCCCTCTATTCCTATTGCGCAATACTTCCCGTTGTCGGCATATCCAAGCACAACTTTTTGTGGATTCCTCACAAGCTCCCGTCCAGAAAAAGCAAAGAATGGTTTAACGGTACGTACAAGGGCCCACTGTTTTTTACACTCCTGCACCCTGTCACTTGTCCGCTACTTTGCCCCGGGCAAGTAGGACCAACGAAGAGAGGAGGAGCAGACGGAGAGGAGAAGAGGAGGAGGAAGGTGCTCTCTCTTTTGTCCAGGTTCTTTCCCACTCGCAATAATAGCAAAAGAGAAAAGCGAAAGAAAGAGAGGAAGGAACGTCCAACATTGGACATCCTTCGCATCGAGGACGCGCCTAACACGGAACAGACCTTTTCGAGGAAACGATCCCACTGGTCTGGAACGCCTCGACTCTCGACCTCTTTCACTTCCAAAGTTCTCCCCCTCCTGCCTGCCGCCCACGTTTACACTACGTCTACTTTCACGACCACGTCCGTCCACATTCAGATCGCTCCCAACTTATCCGACGGATCTGCCTAGTACCTTCAGCCACTCCTTCACCTTCCTCGCGCCGCTCACGTCGTTGCACATAGCGGCCATTTCCCGCTTACATTGCCGCCCACTGCACTAATCGCACCGAAACGCACTTTTCATCACCACATTCACTCACGCCTTCTCCATTTTCTCGACCAAACACTCCTTACTCATCTCGTCTCGCTGTGCGCTTTTACGCTTTGCGTCTCCTTTACCTTGCCCACGGGACGCCTCAATTAACCTGACTCTTTGCCTTGTACGATTCCCCCGCCGCCGCCGCCTCCTCTTCTTTACCTTAACCTACGGATTACTCCGCCAAGACCAAGAGACGCAAACAAGCCCAGCGCTCGAGACTCGGATCTCTCCTTTCCACAAACCATCGCAACCCCATCGGCATCACAGAGCTCATCGCATCCGCCAGCTCTCAGACTTGACGCAATTCCGTCCCAACTCTACCTTACCGCGGCCCCGGTCGAATATCTTTCCGCACTTCGTCACCCAAACTCTGTGGACTTGTTTCCTACTTCTCCTTTGTGAAGCTCAGACGCTCCGAAGCTACAGCGAATCCGCGTTCGCAAATCCCGCGCCCAGCTCTGCTGTCGAAACATTTCCACTCGACGAAACCAACCCCTTCCCTTCCTCCCGCGTCCACCTCAATTTTTTGCCTTTCCCCGACCTGCCGCCCAATCTGAGTACCCGTCGCCATCCCAGTCCTGCGACTTTAGCTGCGCGAGACACCAGAGGCACCGTGCTCTGCAGACAGCCCACGAAAAAGAAACCCCAAGCCGTACGCCGCCCGCCGCCCGCTAGCGCAAGGAATACAGCTCGACGACAAAAAATCCACTACAGTCAGACCTTTGTTTTCCCTCCACACTTGCTTCCAACAGAGCCGACAGGGTCCCGGTTTGAACCGCAAGGAACACTCTACGAGACATACGAAGCCACCTCAATCCCAGGATTCCCCCTTCAAATCGCTCGACGCTGCCTTTCTCTCTTCTCACCAACCCCATCTCGGCCCACCACCAAACACGACAACACAAGCGTTGTCCACTGAATCATATTTTGGTAAGTTTTTTTTCCCTTTGGTTCTTCCTCCCTGGTCTTATCCGCTCCGCCCCTTGGGATCGCCCTTATGCCGGCGCATCTGCAAGTCATGCCCAAGTCCCGTGCCCGCTGCCTTAATTGTCATGGTCCAGGTGCACTGACAACCCTCCTGACAGTCGAGCCCCCAATCCGATGAAAACTTCCCACCTCACTCTGGACACCCTCAACGCATAATAACGTTTCATACGTCCCTGTTCTCGAATTGGTCCAGAGTACTGGGATACAGGCATATTCGCAGGCCAGGTCCCCGTTCACACTCGTGGTTTTCGGACGAATACAACCCACGCGGAAGACGTCCCTTTATCGACGTAATCAACATCCCGACGATCACCCACCCTCTTCCACCCTCCGAGTTCATGGACCGGCCAATTTCTCGACTGCTCTCGACAATCTAGAAGGTTGCTTGCCCAACTCGGGACTTCGTAGTTGCGTACGGATCACGGCTCCTTCCCTTCAATTATTCAACGATATGGCGACTCTCCCACGGCCGGCCCGGCCGTCAAATGGCCCGCCAACCATGGCACTGCCCGCTCTACCTGTACCGAAAACGAGGAAAAGTACGGGGGGCATTCCCACGACAGCTTCCAGGGCACCGTCAACACCGAACTCGAAGAGTGGCCTCAGAGCTCCCTCCGCAGGCTTTCTGCCTCCCACAACTCCCGCACCCACCTCAGCCCTTCCGCAACCACGTACAGCCTCTGCCATGAGTAATTCTTCTGTGCGGACGTTGCGTAAGACAGTGAGCATCAACTCATTCCCCCAGCCGCCCCGAGGCGACAATCGCATCAGTAGCCTCCCCCCGAGTCCACTTGGTGCTGACTCCTCACGGAACTCTACACGCAAGTCAAAGGGCTCCGTAGCGTCTACGTATTCGCAAAGCAACGGCGCGCCAAGTCTGTTGAACAACAGTGCCGAGGGCAAGTCAATATCAAGCGCAAGTGTGCGTATGTCCGATGGCCTTATCAGCATTTCTTCACCGCCCCAAAGCCGGAGCTCTTCTGCCCAGGACTCGTATTCAACTTCCGCGACGACGTATGATGACCCTATCGATGGAATGGCGGCAAAAACCTCATCTGACGGCAGCAGTGATAAGAGAGGTTCCAAACTAGACGGCAAGGGTAATGTGATTGTCAGTGTGAGAGTGCGACCAGATGCGAGCGGAAACGAGAATACCAAAGCCGAGGGCGAGTGGATGGTTGATGGACGCAAGTCTCTTGTTGCGTACAGAGGAAAGGAAGGCGGAGACTACTTTTATGGTGAGGCTTATTGCTCCGCAGAACTACGCAAATTCTTCTAACCCAAGACGTCAGATAATGTCTTTACAACACA